GTCAGGGAGTGGTTGGATAGCGGGTGGGAGTCCCGGGGGTCCGGTCAGTACAAAGTTGTGATCTCATATTGATATGTCATTCTCTGCTGCTCCCCCTAGATGCATTGACATCAATAGTTAGAGAGCACAATACTTAGGGTGCCCCACAGCTGGTGCACATCACCATAACTCCTGTGTCTTCAGTGACTCTATAGTGATGTGCACCAACTCGGAGTCTGTCCCTTTGAGTTGACACTTGCCATGTGTTGCCGACTGGAGAACTTTCACTGAAGAAGCGATCTTGTTCACGGTCACAACCAAGAGCTAACACATCCCGCAAGTGAACTGTCTCAAACCTATTAAGAGATGATAGAATTCTGGTGAAAGCAGTCTTCCTGCTTCCACTCAATATAGTCCAGGTATTAGGGCTTGTTTTTGCAAGCTGCTAAGCCTCTTAACTCTCATTGTCTTCAGGAGATGCTCACTACCCTGCAGAATCTGGCTACTACTGTACATAAATGTTAGGCCCTCTTTATGTGTATGTAAGTATACAGTTGTGTGTACATGTGCAGACTGCAAAAGGTCAAAGCATGGCTCTATGTGCTTAGTTATTCGTTATTCAAAACCAAAGTGGGATGAATGGTGGGAAATGGGCTGCGTGCAATAATCTCCTATACTGGCAGAGAGTTGGACTGAATGATCTAATTAGTCTTTTCCATTTCTGACCTTTGTGACTCTGATTGAGCAGGACTGCTGGTAGGATGGTGGTTAGCTGGTTGAAGGCATTGGTAATGAACCTGTCACCTTTAGTTCATCATTTTAAATCTAGCTCAGGTTGACAGGGATTGAAAGAACCCAGTTTCACATTTCCTGCAAACACAGAGCTCAGTACATGGGGATATTGCATTCGCAAGGAAAGCGGCATTAGGTCCAGAGTCACTACCATCTGGTGGCTGTTAAATGGTCTGTGTGAAATGAGGTAGTTGCGGTCACTTCAGTTCCTAGTAGACAGATGTCCACATAGTATAAGAACTGCCTCCATAATCAGCAATATTTTCTGCAGGGGTTCCATCCATATAGAAATTCCAGCAGAGGAGTCAAGAATTGAATATGTATGAAGATTGAAAAATCTGCTGACCCCAGAAGCGGTTGCTCTTGTTCAGTGCTGAATCATACTTGGGGGAGGGGGTGTGTGGAAGCTCACCCCTACCACTGGTGCAGCTGTATCTCCAGCTTCTGATAGGATGTTTTACCTTTTTGTGGCTGAAGTTAGAGCTACCATTTGAGGAGAAAGTAACAACAGTGGGTGGCTGTGTAAGGGGAGGAGCTGCAGAGCTGGTTGGGAAATAAGCTAATCCTTAGCTGGTCCTGCTTTGTGAGATCAAAGTGTTGCAGAGGTAAACAATGCAGCCATTTGTTTATACCAGCATCAGGGGTCTCAGTCTGCATTTGCCAACCCTTTTGCCCCTATTGTATCTGGTACAGTTTTGATGAGAGGGCCAGAATGTGTGGCCAGTTCCTCATAGGTGTTCAGGGGCTGGACACAAATGCATTCTTGTGCTCACCTGAGCTCAATGCCTGCACTAGGTTAGCAGCAGTGGTGCTGCTAGAATCCCTGAAAGGAGCAGGGAGAAGACATGTCCCTACCCCTCCCTCTGCAATGGGTAGCAGAGCTGGTCAGTGGAGGAGGGAAGCACACACTCTGCCCCTTTGAGGTTGTAGCAGGAGGTGGTGTTCCCCCTGCATCCTGGGTGGACAGTATGCAATGCCTCCAAAAGCTCGCACTGGGATATTGGGGTTTGCACAGCTACCAACATTAGCTTGTGCTTGTGAGGGGAATTATTATTATTATTATTTTGCCTCAAAATGTATCAGCCTAAATGTTCCAGAACTGGCCAGGATTCTTGCTTTTCCACATGGGCAGCGGGTGAACCCCTCATTCAGGGAGGCTTGCACTTTACTTGTGAAAACAAAGAACGAAGAGTACTGGCTTCTACAAATCATTATTGTGTGCATCAGCGTATAAAGGGAAATGCAACTCCCCTTTGCACTCCTCTGCCAGTACACTGCAGTCATGGCTGACCTTCACATGCTTTATCAGTGTCTGCCAAATGCAATAAGCTTTATCAGAGGCTGCCAAATGCAATATACTATGCAATGAATTTATTGTCCTATTTGTCTATTTTGGTTGTGCTTAACCCCATTGCTAGACAAACAACTAGGCGGTAAATGCTCAAAAGAAAGTGATTTCCTTTTAGAATTAGGCTCAAGTACACTCACAATGTTGCTGCCCATGGATGATCTATCATGTTTAGGTAGCCCTATCTGATAGGAGCTGTTATCAACTGCTTCAGGTCAGCTAGTTTCATACTCAGACCAATGAGGTTTTTATTTTTATTTTTGTATGCTCATGTAGTGCCTCTCATTTCAAAACTGTTTACACAAAATTAGATCTCTTAAGACCCCTGTGAAGATGTTTTTACACCAATCTTTCAGGCACAAAGATTATGATTTGCAGTATATCAGTGGCAGAGTGGGGAAGAGTAACCAGAAATCCTAGTTTTTCTGCTGTTTGGACTCTTATACAATGCCAGTATTAAATTGGACCTTATGTCATTCCTATATAATGTAACACTTTTAAGACTGCTCAGTGTTTGAGAGGGGTAGGGTGCTATAAGTGGTAGAGAGAAGACAATATAAATTCTGTCTCTGAGAAAATATAAGCAATAACGTTTATGTATATAGGGTGCTTGTGTGTGAGAGAGAAAATAACTCAACTATTAGGAAAGGAGCTAATATTAGGGATGCTTTCTCTGACGTCTGTGCAGAAAAAAAGTTACTCTGTCCTGAGGCAATCAGAATTCATGCAGAAGACAAGACATATGCAAACCCTAGCAGTGCAGTCCAGACTCCCACACCAAGCAAATGACTCCGGTAATTAAATAGGTTTGTCCACTGGGTCCTGAATATCATCCATGAAAAGTCTCTGACCTGTCAGGATGCCTCAATAGGGCATTTCAGTGTCAAACAATGGTACTTTGCCACTGTGCGCCATGGTGAGTGGAAGCGTGTATCCGAAACTAACCTAGAATTTCCTGCCAGAGTCACTTCATCTTGCATCTCTGGAAGTATTTAATTCCTCAGTATAGAGAGGTTACTTTTCATCAAAGAATACTACCTTGGACTAGATACCATGGGTGGAAGTCAAAAGTAATATGAACCTTACTCATCAATAAGTGTTTGTCAGTTGTTTAAAAGTCTAACCTGATGTAATTTACATGTCAAGAGGTCAGAGGAGCCGTTTAGCAGAAAAAAAAATCTACACCATTTTAAACCATCTTGGTAGTTGCCAACAGGAGTCTTTTTACTTTAACTTGTACATTTTTCTGGCTCCTTAACTTGTAATCTAGAAATATAAACTACCTGTAAACCCACTTAACAACATTGCTCCATCTTGTATATTAATTCTGAGTTTAGCTCAGTCTGTTTGGTCTGTGGTGCCATTTATCCTAAACAACACATTGGCTTCCATGCAACTTGTTTTTGCCAAGTGCTAGGTCTTAAGAGTCCTTGTAGTTCCGGAAACAGAATTAGCAGCAGTGTTAACCTCTAACACCATATTTAAGCAATCATAAAGATATAACAGAAACAAATGATGAATTGTGGCTTTATATATGCATTTTGGTTATATAAATATTTCTTACTGCTGTTGCTGTAGAATCTGAATTAGATCCTTTTAATTTAATTTTAATCACTATTAAGGAGCCAGAACAACAAGGATTTTTACTAGGGCTGGTAAAAAAAAACTCTCTGTCCAAAAGTTTTCAGACAGAAAATTGGGTTTTGGATAAAAAGGAAAATATTTGTTTTTCCTGAAAAATCCTCACTCCCTGCTGCCCTTAGAAGACTGAAAACTCTTCAGTTGTTGGCAATTCAGCTGAAAAACCAAAACATTTTCAGTGAAATATTAAAACTTTCTGCTAAAAATTTCAATAAAATTTGTCAGTTTTCACAGGGTAAAAAAAAAAATTTGACTGTATCTAATTTTTCTCTAAACAGGTACAACCCATTGCTACAATATACTTGCTTAATTTTCATTTATTTTGTATAAACCCTATCCCAAAATGCTTTTCATATTTCAGTTATACCTATACCTGACTTATGTCTCTCATTACTGTAGTACCTGAGTGTCTCCCAAACAATAATGGATTTTTCATTACCAAGCCCTGGAGGTACAGAAGTATCCTATGTTACAGAGGAGGAATTAAGGTACAGAGGTTGGGAGTACATCTACACTACAACATGGCCATGGCTGGCCCGGGTCAGCTGACTCGGGCTCATGGGCCTCAGGTTACGGAGACTAAAAATTGAGGTGTCACTGTTTGGGCTCAAGCTGGAGCCTGGCTCTGAAACCCCAAAAGGGGGGAGGATCTCAGAGCCCAGACTATAGCCTGAGCCTGAACACTGACATTGCAATTTTTAGCCCTGCAACCCAATCCCTGTGAGCCTGAGTCAATTCGCCTGGCCTTTGAGACTCGGTGCCACAGGTTCTTTACTGCAGTGTAGACACACCCTCAGTGATTCGTCCAGAGTCACACAGGAAGTCTAGTCTTTAGCAGAGCTAAGAACCAAACTCTGCTCTCCTGAGTCACAGTCCAGTGCCTCAACTGCAAGCCCATTCTTTCTCCTGGACCTAAAACAATAATAGCAGAGGGACAGAGAAATTCAGAGGCACAAGAAGGAGAGAAAAGGTACATTTTCACATGAGATTTGAAAAGAAGTGAAGAGTTGGAGGGGAAAGATGCAGGAAGACAGGTCCAGATGGCATTGGAGAAAGGGACAGAGGAGACCAGTGTTAACAAGCATAGGGAATGGGTAGACACGATGGCAGAAACAGTCCACACGGTTGGCTAGAGAAAATCCATGCATAGTTGAAAATACAGGGAGGTTAGTTTTGAGCTGGATTCTGAAATGAACAGGAAAATATATGTAACCCCCATGCCTTTGTTTTGTTTTCACAGATTCCAGAATCTGCTTTGGTCTAGAAAAACCTTTGTGGATAGTGTTAAAGTCTATAACCATAGCTACGTCTATATGCCAGCCTTCTCTATGAAGACAGGGACAGAGCCATCCCTACGGGTTTACTACACCCTGGAGGACTTTGGTGCCAACCAGACGGTGCTCTTTGCCAATCCCAACTTCCTCCGTGACATTGGCAAGTTTTGGAAGAGCAAAGGAATCCATGCCAAGCGGCTTTCAACAGGTCTCTTCCTTGTCAGCGCAGCCCTAGGTCTGTGCGAAGAAGTAACCATCTATGGCTTCTGGCCTTTTTCAGTGGACCTGCATGGAAGGTTTATCAGCCATCATTACTATGACAATGTGTTGCCTGATTCTGGGTTCCATGCCATGCCAGAAGAGTTTCTACAGCTCTGGTTTCTTCATAAAAATGGTGTATTGAGAATGCAGCTAGAACAATGTGAGGCCCCTTTACTCCAGTCCTCTGCTTAAGGACCATAAGGAAGGGCATGGGGGATCCTCTTCGTTTTAATTTCCATATTCTCCAAAAAGAAAATTAAAAGAGAAGGGGAAAATATTTATGGATTTGCAGAGACCTTAAAGATGCTACTTGTTCCATTGATAACATGAAGGCCAAACAAGAGACAAGTCCTTACACACAGTGTTAAGGAACAGAGAAATAAGTAGCTTTCATGGAATTCACTCTGCATAATTATGAAATTACTGTTGGAAGCAGCATCCCTGATCTTGATTGGTTCTCATTTTAAAAGATCAATTTAAAAGGGGCATTAAGCGTTGGATGGAGGCTGACTGTGCTAAATACTACTGGCTGTTGAAAATCCATTTAATTCCAGATTAGCACAACCCCCTTTCTTTCTTTCCTTTCTTACTACTTTCCTTCAAGCCACCAGCTCTCAGTGACTTCAAGGGACGGAGCTGAGGGTGCTTAGACTCTGGTGAAACAGTGCCCAGTTTTTGTAATAGAGCAGTCCCTGTATATTGGGGAAAACCCCTACCTAACCACAGTGTTTAGCAGTGGTAGTCCAGAACACTTCAGTTTACAGCCATGTTAATGTAGCATTGTGGACTAGAGGTGGTTGGAAAATGGTAATAAATTTTAATGAAACACTGACAAATTCTTTGGGAAATGTCGAAGCTAAAAACAATTCTAGTAGCTTGGTTTTGGCCTATTGTTGTAGAATAGTACGTTTTGTAATAAGGGCTGCTCCTGACCAATTTACTGTACATTCTTTGAGTCTAATTCTGTATTCCTTCTTACGTCAAATGCTCATTGATCTCAATGGGAGTTTGAGGTCCACAAAGGAATGCAGGCCCAGGTTCTTAATTTACTTGTAGCACAGACGGTACACAGTGAGCACAGGTGTCTTTTAAAATTTGTTAAAACAATGAAAATCCTTTTTCCTTGAAGCGGTGTTCTGTTTGTGCGATTAGATCCCGTCCTGTTTGTATTGCAATGCTGGCCGTAAAGTCTTATTTTTTATTTTTCTCCCCAGATCATCTCTGGTCCAAGATATTGTTTGAAAAATAAAACCGCCCTTGGGAGCACTCTTTAAAAACTACATAGTGAGCAAAAAGTAAATGACCCTGTCAGGTGCTTACATAACACAGTCACTCTCCTTGAAATCAGTGAGTTATGTAAGTGTGTACATTTCACTTAGGCTGCTCTAGCCTTTTCATCGCTTCACAGACTGTTTTCATTTTATTTATTTCTCAGCCAGCCCATGGTCCTGGAAACTTTCTAATGCAGTGTAAATTAGTACTCTTATTTTTAGGACTGTGACAAAAATAAAATATTGGTACATCATCTTTGTTGCAATTTCTGCTGCAAGATTAGCCTTTTAAATTCAGATTTGCATCCTTGTTGCTCTCTACTCCATCACTAGTAGCTACAAACTGTCAAAACGGCAAAAAACGAGAACAACAGACATTGGATTGCCAAAGGTATTTCCTGTGCTATGCATATTCATTCCAAACAGGCAATGCTCTTTTTTTGGTATGTCCTATCATGCTTTGATGATGATTTTATTTTTAGTGTCAGCTGCCTGCAATATGGAAATAATAATTTTAAAAATCCCTCAAATGTCTGTGTAGGACAGAAACAGAGAAATCTTCACACTTCTGATTTTTTTAACTGTACATTTCAGAATAAAATCATTTTAAAGATTAATATTCCAGAACATGAAAGGGGCATCATTATTAAAGTTTGCATTTCAGTCTTAAAAGAAGGTGGGAGATTATTTGTATTACATAGTGTTTTAGAAATTTGTATGCTCGAATTTGACTGGGTTCTATCATTTGCTTTATCTTTGTCTATATTAAGAAGGTAAAATGAACAAATGTGACAAAATGCTGCATAACCTGGTAATTCTTTCATGATGGACCTGTTCATTTTATTTATGCAAGGGTATTCAGCAAAGGAGGATTTCAGAGAATCAAATAATTTCCTTACTGTAAGTTGTAGCAAGTTTTACTAAGCTTTTTTTGGGACCAGAATAGATGACTGGTGTTTTATTGTACATGTCAGGACTGTGAAGTATTTCTTGAGAAATTGTTGTCTGTACGAACGTAACCAGTTTGGAATTCTGTTCTCCCAGGCTTTGGGGAAATAATCTGAGCAGGGTCATGAGAAAATTGGTATCTTCACTGGAAAGCTTAGTACAGTGGTTCGTACCTTATGGCTTGGAGCTACTGATGGGATCCTCAGCAATTGTCTTGTGCATGGGGGACATCCCATTCCTTCTCTGTTTTATTGAAGCAGCAGACTTACTGAATCTTTTCCTAATGATCTCTATGGGTCCTTCCTGACATTTGAAATCTATCATACTGAATCCCGAGAGATCTCCTATAAAATGCTGAGAGAACCAGAGAGGCCCAAGGTACACTTAAAATCTTCCATTCTGGTACTGGGAATATTAACCAATTCTAGCTGTATTTCCTATTTAAGAACAAGTAATAGCTCTACCCATACATTTCTAAGGGCTTATCTACATGAACACGTAGTTCACGACAAGCTGGCGTGTGAATCTATCCTCCACTAACCCGACACACACTGAGTGTCTGTGTAGATCCTACTGCAGTGCTTTTGATCTACCCTGAAGCATAATTAAAGTTCAGAATTCCAGATACAGACTTTGTATTTTAGGCTGCCTGGTTTTGTCTGTGTTTTTCTCGTGATCAGACAGAAGGCTGCCATGTTGCGGGAAAAGCTACCTGTCACTGTCCCAGTGGAAGTAAAGTAAACTGTGGTTGCTGCAGCAGCTGTGTAGGAGGAGAGTACAGGTTTATAACAGAAGGGGAAGTCATGCCACAATGAAGAAGTTGATGAAATCCTAGGTTCCTCCCTCATATATCACCTCCAACAAGCTAATATCCTGTGTTACTGTCTCCTTCATGAAGGCAACTTCATGCTTTAGGTGGATGGTGATGATGACGAAGAAAGCATTCCACTCTTCTTCCCCTAGATAACTACACTATGTCTCTGCAGCAAGAGCTCTCTTGTGGTTGGTAGAATCTTGTTAGGCCATTGCACTTGGTATTGGTAAAAGTGAGGGCTTCCTTGTCCCACAGTTGGTGAGGTGTAGGAGAGCTCACATAGAGTTGCTATTGATTAAGAGTAGAGTGTGTCTCTAAGGTACTCTCTTTTAAGTTGCTTTAAAGTTTCAGTAGTTTGTGGTTTTGGGAAATAGGGACAACATAACTTCAGAGGCACAGGACAAACTTCTCCTCTTGGTTCTGCAGGGAGGAACTCTATTGCAACCCTTCGGCACGCGGCCCATCAGGGTAATCTGCTGGCGGGCTGTGAGACATTTTGTTTACGTTGACCAACTGCAGGCATGCCCCCCCCCCCCCGCAGCTCCCAGTGGCCACGGTTCGCCATTCCCAGACAATGGGAGCTGTGGGAAGCACTAGTCTGGCACTAAAAACAATCTGCAGAGCAGTCTGAGTCTTGTTTTTTCAGATGATCTGTATAAATTTACAGTACAAGTTATGCAGATCTACTGTTTTTCTATTTAAGGGCCTGATCCAGTGCTTACTAACGGCAAAGGGAGTGTTTCCATTGACTGCAATGGGCGTTGGATCAGGTCCGAAATATATAAAGTGGAGAACATTTTAAAGTATCCTAGTAACAATATGAACCTCTATTTCTAGCTCATGTTTTCCATCATTTTCTTTGCCATTTCAAAAGAGTACCCTTATAATATCCCCAAATTCTGCGGCATCCCTTTTGTAAGCTGTAGTGTTTTGGACCGTTACTCTACAGTACTGCAGTATGTATTCTAAAGAATATTTGGGATAGCTTCATTTTAGCTCATTGCTGCCTTCTGCTTGAGTCTGCAATTAGTCAACAAGGAGTCTGTAACATCACAGTCATGGCTGCGGGAATAGACTGCGATGTCACAGATGCAACACTATAGGCTTGATTCACTCCACTGGATAGGTGACATTTGCACTGCTGCCTTCACCCAGTAATTCCTCCACAGGAGGGCAGCTTTAAACTGTTGCTGGGGCTCCATGGGAGCCCTGTTGGCAAATACTTCCTGGGAGATGTGCTGAATTTGGCATATCCTCAGAGTGCCCTGGCCATGCCACTGTGTCCAGTGCCATCCATTTTGGGGCTATATTGCCTACCAGTAGGGCCCTTTGTGGAACGATGGCTCTGGATACCATGTGATACTGTTCCCTTCCTGCTTCTGTATGGACTTTCCTTCTCTGGATGCCCAGGATTTCCTTGCCATGTCCAGGTTCACTAAGAAGTAAAGGTTTTCTAAAGGAAATCCTCCACGTTTTTTCCTGTCCAGTCGCCTTATTGAAGTCAGATTTTTCCAAACTCCTTTTATTATGATTTTTAAAATCAGTCAGAAGTCTTTTGACTTTTGACTGATTTTTAAAATAATTAATAATAAAAGGAGTCTGGAAAAATATATACATAAATAACTGCCACTTTAAAGCATACCTTTTGATAAATGATGTTATCATCCATTTTAAATCTTACCAACTAACCATAGGATGGATTTTGGTGATAAAGGTCCAAATTCTGTGCTGACTTACACCCCGTAAATATGATTGGAGTGAATGGAGTTGTCCTGGGTGTAAACCCAATGGAGAATTTGGCTATAAAGCAGCATGTATTGAGACTGTTTCATAGAGGATATTATTTTAAAATAATTTCTAGGTGGTTTGGGGGGAATTCCAGATATATTTTTGTATTAGTTTTACATTTATTTCAATTATTTTCATGTTTTATGCTGGCAAGAATGTTTTGTCACTAGGACTGCTCTTTGGCAGTAGACATCTGGCATTTGTACAGTGAATGCTTTAAAAATGCAATTGAAACAGGATTTTGATAGTTGAAAGTTATGAAATTACTAACAAATTTACTAGCCTGTTTAATAAACATAAACTGGCAAATGTTCCTAAAAGAACCTCAAGTATCAAAAGGAAGTTATACTTACTCCCTTCTGTTTATACACGGTATACAACTACTGGAAGACAGAATGTCATTTGCTATATGATTTCTGTTAATTGTTTTCACTGGTGTATATTGAGCCCTGGTAGGACTGTCTCCAAAATGATGAACATTTGAAAATAAAAAGTGTCTAAATGAAGCTGTTGTATAGTATCTCCAACCAGCAAACCACATGGGGCACTCTGTGAACGTTAAAACAGCATTCCATGTTCTCCCCTCAACAGTGTGAAGACTTTTGGTCTGATTCAAAGGGAGTATGGGGTCATTACAACCTCAGGATGGCACCATACAAGCCCTACTTCCATTGAGTGCTTCTGGGAATTGGGAGGTGACCTTAGTGGCTGGAGCTAGCCCTGCTTTCACCACAGCTCTGAAACCAGCGTATTATACCAGATCCTAATTTACCACCAGTATTATGAAGTATACAGTGACTGCAAGGTTAATACATATTTTTTGTTGTCTTGACTTTCAAAGATGTTAAGCAACCACAGCTCCTACTGAGATCAGTAGGAGAGGTAGTGGCTTATCACTTATGAAAATTAGCTTATTTGTTGCTCTGAAGTGCTTCTTGAGACTGAGGCAAGTAAGGATTTAGTCTCATTTAAATAATTAGGAGTTTTGCCTGTTGGATTGTGGCCTCTGTATGCAAAATGACATGCACGGGATACTGGAAAACCTGCATTGTTCCCCCAGGTGCAATCTAAAAATTGAACAATTCAAATGTTGGTCAAAGATAACTTCTCTTCTGTGGTCCTGATCCTTCTTCCCTGGCAGTGAACCTCCATTACCATTATATATATACTGTCTTGCAGTAGCATAGAAAGATTCCAGTCAGGATTGTAGTGGAGTTAAACATATATGATGATATAGTAAGGCAGTGGGGCATAAGCAAATGCTTAAATGCTTTGCTGAATAAGGACCTAAATTAGTCAAAGACTACCAGCTCTCCCTTCCTCCCTGGAGCAGTTAACTTCTCCATCTCTTCAGCAGACATCACAGTGGCACCATAACAGCTAAGAAAGATGCTCAAAAACATTTCAGGAAGGGGCTGATCCAAAGCCAATGTTCTGTTGACTTCAGTGGGCTTTGGTCCAGGCCCTAAGTCTAGAAATAGTAACAGTCACACTGGAAAAGATTCAGGTTAAATTAGAGCTGGAAATTTTGCAAGAAAAAGCTTGCATGTGAGATTTCATGTCCTTCCAATATCAGTCAATCTGGAAATACAACTAGTAATGCACAGAGAGGAGCATGATTACATCAGAGCCACAAACTTCTCATTTCTAATCCTAGTTCTGACACTGACCTGCCTCCGTGCTGGGGTTTCCCCTTCTGGAACATGGCAATAATATTTTACCTTCCTTAAAGGTGTTTGAAGCATTAATTAGTTGATGTTTGTGAAGTGCTTTGAAAATGAAAATCACTATACAAACGATTGATTTATTATTTCAGCACTTCCATTCTGATCAGAACCAGGGAGTGCAATGGCAAGATTATTTTGAAAATTAAAAAAAGTTGGTTGAAGATTTTGTTAGCAATTTGGATAGTTCCTATTTGATAACAGCCAGTTCACCCTTCCTGGTTTAGGGTACAGTGAGGATACTGCCTTCAGACTGTCAGAGGTTTTAACAGACCATATGGGTTTTCCACCTCTCTCAGTAAGTGAACGTTTTTGCTTTTTAATGGAAAAAAGAAAGTCCAAATAAAACACAGAAGCAAATTATGAGCCAGATTCTCAGCTGGCATAAATCATTGTAGAGCCCTTCATTTCAATAGAGCTATGCAGATTTCAACCAGCTGAGGGTCTGGCTGTACAGTTATAAAATTGATGGAAATATGCCTACAAACCTTTCAAATGTATACGTTTTTAAACTATTCTAAGATTATGCTATTTAGTTAAAGGTACTTTTCTGTAAACTAGTTGTTTTCCATAAATACAAAGCACAAGTGGCTCCTTTGGATGGGTATATGTTGGTTGCAACTGTGAAGCAGACATGTTATTGCAATTTACAATCCTGCCACATTAAGGTATCATAGTGCAAAAACAAATCATACTTTGAGTGGGACAGGATGTGTTTTCCAATATGAGACCCTATTTCAATATATATGTAAAATAAATGGAGCATACAATATTCTGTGTATTCAAGTATAGTGCATTAGGGGAAAAATGTAAAAAATAAAGTTTCTATGAACCAAGTAAAGACAAAAACCTTCATCATAGCAATGAAGACTTACCAATAAATACCTGTTTCACAGAAACACATACCCTCAAATAAAAGATTGTCTCTGAATTCAGATCATACTAATGTTTTCCACTCATTGTCAAAAGACTTTGTTAGACTTTAATGAGGCCATTATAGGTTTTTTTCTAGCACCTGCTTGCTTTTTGGGTTGGAGGAGGGGCGTTTCCCCTTTTCTGGTGACTTTTGCATGCAATAAACTTATTGTTTAGGAAGTTCTTTCTGTAATTTATATCAAAGGTTCAATTCTAATCTCAGATGCTACTTGTCTTGAAAATTTAGCTGCTGTTTGTTCTTCCCATGCTCTGTGCCATTTCTCTTCATCACAGTACTAATGCATTGTGATAGACACTGGACCTCTGGAATTAGTTTTGATCATTAAGTACCAATGATCATCAGGAACTAGAAAATAGACTGGCTGTAACAGTCCTTGGTTTTAGCCTAGACTGAGGGCAACCAAACAGTGAATCTGTATAATATTTGTAATGCGCTCACAGTCAATAGGGCATCAGTGAAATGCAAGTCAGTTTCAAAAGTTCTGGGGAAAAGATCTAGGCCTCCTTTATAAACCTGACTTAACGATAGTCTATAATACTGCAAATAGAAAAACATGTTGATTATTATTCTACAGCTCCTTATAATTCCTATCCATCCTCTGTTCTGTACTATTCTAGTTACCTTTCCTGGTTTTATTGTATGTTTTTCTAGTCTTGGCATCTTTTTTCTGCTGTTTTGATCTCGTTTGTTTTGCATCAGTCTCTGCAAGTACCTCCCTAGGTCCTTTTGTGGAAAGCCATTTTTCATAGTCATCGTTAGCCTGCTGCAGAGTTTTTATGTGTGTAAAGTAGCGGTGTGGAGTATAATATATGAAAGAAAGTATTTTCATCATTTTTTCATGTGTGAGTTTATATATGTCATATGTGTGTCCAATAGATAATATATAGGCTGTTTATACACAGTAGATGCACCTTATAAAGCTTCTACTGTTCTAAAGGAGCTAAACGAATAATTCTGCCTTTTAAATACATTTGGATTCTCTCATCCACTGAGGTCCACAAGGCACAAGAACGGAAGGAGTCAATTACTGCTGCCTGATTCTCAAACTTCCCCAGCATTTGTTTTGAGTACCTAATGGCTAGTCTTATTTATGACAACCAGCAATAGATCCTAGACTATTCATACACCACCAGCTGAGAATTAGCAGAGCTGCACTCTGGTCCATCCCTGCCCTTCCCTTTGCTGACATCCTCCCTGTGCCAGAGTGGAGGGGCAATTGGCACAGGAACTGGCTTGGCCAGCTTTACACCTGTGGAGTTCTCTAAGTAATTCTGATCCATCCAGCTGAGACTCGATTCAGGGCTATTTGTGCTGCTAAGGGAGCGCCATGTGGTCAGAACTGAGTCAGAGAATCTGGCTCTGGGAATATCTGGTTGATAATAACTGAAACTGGTTGATTCTTTCAAAACAGAAGAAGCTTTCAGTGTAGCAGTCATATGGGGACTACAAATATTCTTTGTTACAAGTGGGACTGAAGAAGATTCAAAGCATTCCCATATGTTTCCAGACACTTAAAAATCAGGAAGTCTATTATGTGGCCAAAGTGCTGAAAACCATGAAACAGTACCCCGTATAGCACAGAAATGCTACACATTTTCAGTCACTCAGAGACCTAGATTTTTTGTTTGTTTTTTTTTTTGCATTTGAAGAAAAAGCACTTATTCCTAAATCAGAAAAATGAGATCTGCATTTGTAAGTCATTTTTTACTTTCCCCATTTTTACAGCAGTAGTAGTGGTGTCATGTAAACTCGTGGAAAGTATGTGTAACTTTATCGCCTTCTAAATTGTTCAGTTAGATATATGTACAATATATTTTCTTTATGCTTGTATTTTGTAATGTGTCACTACTGATTTCCTCTGACTATCACTGAAAGCCCATGGTGAAAAACAAGGGCAGGGCAGATTAAAGGTGCCTAGTGATTTTTTTTAAAAGAAATCAACATAAAAGAAATAGTGGCAAACCACTTTAATAATGAAATGTCAAATTTAGCATGTGGATGATGATGAATGTAAAAGATTGTTAAAACTGTTGTGCCAATGAGCTGGGCTATTTTGTAACAATACTGAAAAGAGAGGTAAACTGAGGAAGGAAAGGTTTCTTTTAGCTACAACTCATATTCCATTTACCTTCTCTTCATGACACCTACTGTGGTTCTGGAGATTGCAACGTAAGCTTTTTCTTTATAACCATAAAGAAACTTGCAAGGAAAACACATAATCTCTTCAGAAAGTAAACACACTTGTTTCCTGCCTCAGAAAAAGTCTATCCCTTTGTATTTCTAGAATCTCGATGGCCTGAGATTGTATCATGTCATCAGAATAATGCTAGATGGACACGAGCCTACATTTTATTGGTTTTTTTTTAAACTTGGGCCTCTGTCTAAACATAATAACAACAATTCCATACTGTATATTTTGAGTACATAGACTCAAGTATTCTATTCTAGGGATGGGAAATAAGTGAATGCAGATAGGCACAGTATGTTAGTGGCTTCTAGTAAGTAAACCAAATTGAAAGGTAAAACAGGTCAACAATTTGTGTTTTCATTATAGATATTTTGTATACGCAACCATAAATCTGGTGAGAATTCGTGAATTCAGGTAAAGGCAAAAATGTGTCATTGTTGTCAAATGAACCTGGGCCAAGATTTTTCAAAGATAATTAAGGCCCAAATCTTCAAAAGTTCCTACCTTCCATTGATTTTAATGGAAACAGTTCTGCTCTTGGTGAGTACGCTGCACAGAAGGTCCACTGAGGTCAGTGACAGGGCTGCGTGACCCATGCTGTGTTCTGTTTGGGAACTAAACAGTGCAATTTGGCCCTCAGGAGCTAGAAGTGAAGCAGCCCATAAAGTTTGTCTTTGTAGGTTTGAACTGTGTGAACTCTAACCTACTAGGGGACTCTCTACACAGCCATCCCTGCCTCCAGCCTCTTTTTTGCCTTTCAACAAGGCTTGGACTTTCTGCTTTTTAGTTTAATGTATTTGCAGTGGGGTGTCCCAACAATGGCGATGAAATAGGGTTGACTAGAGAGAGAAGAAATTCCCCAACCACCCAGCTGGGTGAACTATCACAGTCCTTGTTTGTGGAACTTTAAAGAGCATGAATGCGAGCAAAACTCAAACCAAGGCTGATTATGAGTACTTTTGAAGATTGATTTGAAATTTTGCATATTTTTAGTCAGCAGGAATGTAGTGTGTGGTTAAAATGGTACAAGATGAGCTAACCTGGACCAGTTTGTAGCTGATATCTTATGCACAAGGAAAAGGGACTGTTGGTGCAGGGAGCCTCTCTCTCCTTGTATCTGGCCATTAGGGGCTGGCCACAATTGCAGTACTTGCTTCAACATTTTGCAGGCCCTATGCACAGTGGTTAATTTCACACTCTCATTGTAAAAATTTGTGGATTTGCATTCCTTCCTGTTTTGCCCAGTTCATTGAAAAGTGTGATGGTAATGTAATATTTCATGTTCTTGGCATGGTATTTAAAGTGCATTAGCAAACAATTATGCTCTGAGATTGTAAAATGCCATGAATTCATTTTTCCCCTGTGAATGAAATGTAATATTTATTGCATCATTTATAATGTATGTAACCTTCACAGGCTGGATGCTGTGTCACTATCTCCTTGAATCAGCATCATTTTGGCACACTCAGGGGCAAAAGTACTTGTGCAACGTGTTCAAACATCACAAAATGTGGTGTTGTTTAGAGTCTTGTGATTAGAGCTTAAATCTAATCCTTTCCAATGTAGCAAATATTTGCTGATGGCTAAAACTGTTACAAGGACTAAAGTATAACTTTTTTCTTTGCGTGGCAATAACATATGTTCTGTTCTGTCAGTCTGATCGGTTTATTTTCGAGTAGTGTGCAGTGCTGATTTAGAGAATGTCTACCCTTCAAGATGGCTATGGTGACTGTGCACAAGCAATGTCTAGACGACTCAACGTAGCAGAGTTCTTTGTGATAGACCTTATTGAACAACTGTATTTTGTTGTCTTTTTTTCTAGTCACATTTTACAAAACATACCATAAGAATTTCTTGTGATTTTTAGCGAAGTCCCATTTGTAATATTCAATAACGGACCTAGATTTTATAGTACTCCATGCCTTTTTTTCCATAGCCTGAGTCATAACAAGCATGATCAGAAGGAACAAGTTCATTGTTTTGTTTAATTTTGATGGAACTTTTTCAGAAATAAATGTTATGATATTTATAATTTGAATTTATTTAACTTAATAAATATCTCCATTTTCAAAAATGAAAGTATTATTTGTGGGGCTTCTCTTTTTCTTCTTTTCTTCATCATCTGTCTCTATATGCTCAATAGATCAAGGCCATTTCCACTTCCTCTTTATGTCCTGCATACTTTGTTGCTCTGTTAAAATTTGCATCCATTGTCTCTATTTGATATTTGTCATCTTTACTATTTTATCTATTCTTTTTTCATTCCTTTGTAGGTTACTGCCTGATCCAACTCTCACTAAAGCAAATGGGACAAATGCATCCCTGGTGTAACTTAATTGACTAACCAGAGCTGAATTTGGCTCAGTTGGGAGTTTTTCTGCTGCCTTTCATGGGCGTTCAATCAGGCACTTAGTTTATAGGGAAAACCCACCAAACCACTTCAGATGGACACAAAATTCCAGTGAGATACAACTAAATGGATAGAAAAAGGTCCTGATTCTGCAGTTGGATCGGCGTGTGTGGGTGCTGGTCAGTGGTCTGCCTTCATGGATCAGATTACAGGGTCAGGGACAAAATTACTAAAAATCACATACAGCCTTACATTTCCAAAAGTGACCAGTGATTCTGGATATCTGGACTTTTGGGTACCCAACATGCAACCCCTTAAAGGGACCACATTTTCTAAGGCCAGGTGCTCAACGCTTTCTGAAGATCAGGTCCCTTCAAGGGGTCTGAAGTTGGCCATCCAAATTCTGGATTAAGTTTTGGGAATTTAGACCTACAGTCCGACAGTCCTTGCACACACACAAAACTTTTACTGAAGCAAGTGGGAGATTTGGACAGCAGGCTTGGGCCCAGAACTCTTCAAAAAGTTCAGCAGGAGTTGAAGGTGTTCAATACCGGACAGGAGCTTCTCTCAAAAGTCCTGGCCAATCATTTCTCTGTCTAGCTGGTTACAATTGACCTTTCACCCTAGTTCATGTCTTTTTACCAGGGTCTTTCTCTGCATGCTTTTTCTGGGCCTTTACATGCAGGCAAAACAAGCAGCTTTAAAATGGCCACTTTGAACATCAGTTGGCCACTTTCTTCCTTTCAGCCAATATGTATCTCATTGCTGCTTTGAGCACACTGCTTCCCCTAATCCGCCCCAGAAATCCCATTCCTTTCAGCCTTTGCCCACAGTTTGCCAGACAGTCTAATTCTTTCATAAACTGGCTGCTGGTGATAGCACGGCAACATGCTTTCCAGATAGGCCCCACTTCATTTACGCAAAGTTCCTGAGATTTTTGAACCTGCTGAAAGTAAGGAATTAAGCATCTCTGTTCATCCCCATCTGACACCTACAGGAACACCATGGCTCAGCAAAGGTGCTGATCTCTATGGGTAGGAAAGGAGAAAAGTTCCCTTTCTTTAATTCCTGAAAGGATAGCATGGCCTTTTCCCTAAACCGATGTTTCAGTTACTCGTGTTTAGATGTAAATCAATGAAGTCGGTGGAAATAAGATGACTTACATCAGCTGAGAATCTAGCCCTTGCAACCAGTTGTGTGTTAATTTGTTTAGAAATTACCCAGAAGATGTGCTGTGTCTGAGATGTGTCACTTTTCCCTAGCTTTGTGACAAGGTCAGACTCCCAAAATTGACTTCCCTCACTGATGAGAAACCAGAGTTGCCCACTTTGCTTTTTTATTTTTATTTCTCAGTTTTCAGTGTACTGTCTCCCACACCTTTGATCACCTACTGCTTTTCTATACTTTATACCAAAGAGAGAGTCTGTGCCTGTGATGTACATGTGAGTTGGGGGCTTGCTTGGTTGAGAACGCCATTCAGTTCAGCACTCTTGTCAATTGAGTGTTCAATAGATTGTAAGCTCTTCAGGGCAGAGGCTCTTTTTTGTTTTATGTTTGTACAGTGCCTAGCACAACTGGTGCCATAGTCCCTGCCTGGGGCCCCTAGTTGCTACAGCAATACAAAGAAGTTGCAAAACAAAATGGCAACTCCTTGTAGCTAGATTCAACACTCACCTAGATGAGTGTTAGTCGAAAATTCTGACTGTGTGCTCTACTTGCTTTTTCCATGAGCTCTGATGCGGATTCCTTGTGTGATCTTAAATTAAGTCATTTAACCTCTCTGTGCCTCATTTTCCCCATCTGTAAAATGGGGATAAAACCCACAGAGCTGTTGTAAGGATTTTAATATCTGTAAAGTAGTTTGAACCCTTTATGAAATGCAAAGTGCCAGCAATAGCGGTCGTAGAGGGTTTCTTTATGCTTCTTTAATCTGACCAGAATCAGAAATGGAGATGCTAGAATATCATAGATAAGGCTGTTCTTGCAATATTTTCAGCCTGAGAGATGCAGGAAGTGTTAGATATCCCACATAAGATCCTGGTCTCCCAAGAGTCCCTGCCCAATTTTGAAGACATGATTGGCTTGGATAGCTTGGTTAAGT